TTCATAGGGTAATAAAGAATATGCTCTTTTAAAAGTATAATATCAATTTATTTATTTAACATATTATGCACACACATACTTCGACTTCGATAGGAAAATGGTAAAAAACATAATTATGTACAATGTTAGTCTTTTTGGGCCCATGACTGGACGGTGGCATTTTAAGAAAGTCAAGCTGTTTTTTTTAAATAATTGCCTATTGAAAACCTTATAATCTATAACATATTATTACATAAAATGTGTAATGTATTAATGTTAATTTAAAAGTTTTGCTCAAATTATGGACATGAAAAATAATTTTAAATATTTGCCAATGCGACGGTTTGTTATTTTACGAATACAGTCATGTTTGTTTAAAAAGTAAAATCTACTGCAGTCATAACATGTGAAATGTAATAAAATGTTTACAATCAGGTGCCAGTCGGAAATTTCGTCCCAGATTTAATTTGAAGTCAATAAACAAATGGAATGAATACACTACCAATTTATTACAATTTATTTCATTGATTTCATAAAATTTGATTTGGAATAATAATACTAACAATTTTATTTCAATAAATTGTACAATTAATTCAAACAATGCCTTTATTTAAAATAGTCTACAATAACAGATACCTGACCTAGGATAAAGCTAGATACAGGTTTATCCTAGGTGTATTTACTAATAGATACACTAAAAAGCATTTTCTGTTTCTTATATAATATCCGCAGTAGAACCAGATTGACCGACATAGCCCAACGGATTAATAAGCTGAAGTGCCAATAGGCCGCCCACATAGCTCGAAAAACCGACAGGGGAGGAAAGGTTCTCGAGTGGCAGCCTCGTACTGGTAGGCGACGTGTAGGGCGAACCACCACTAAATGGAGTGACGACCTGGTATGACTTTCAGGAAGTCGATAGATGCAGGTGGCTCATTACCGTGCTTTGTGGTATTTCTTAGGGCAGCCCTATGTTCAGCAGTGGACTTGTAAAGGGCTGTAACAATGATGATGGTGATATATAAGGAATAACATACCTACTAACTAAAGTTAATTTTGGTATAATATGCATTATCATTAAATAACTTAAAGCAATCGGCAACTTTTCCGTATCATTGGATGACAAAGAATCATGCCCACTTTCCACACATTGATTGACCTGTCACTTGATTTTTTAACAGGTCGCGTCTACCTACAACCACTGTTGTACCATGTTTGAATTACACGTTTGCTTAGTTTTTTTTTTCATTAAATGAGTTATTCTATTTCATAAAATAACTTTCTATAGTTAAAAACTATTAAGGGGATATAGTAATAATGATTTTCTTATATTTACGCGAACACTACACATTGAAATAATACTAGTTTTTACGGAATTTATCGCGTGTATTTAACTTTATAATTACCCGCTCTCCCGCCCGACCCCTCTGCGGTCTATCAAATCTGATGTAGTGACCGCAGATCCTCGCTAAAGAACACCGATTCCTTCCAAGGATGATTCGCGAGGCTATTGAAATCAAAAAACATCCTAATTTCAATAGAGAAGATGGCTGGGTGCTACCATCTGCTTGGGATCCTATAATAAATAAAATTAAATCCCAACCCAAGCATACAACTGCAAGACTTCAAGATACCATAAGTTCATACTGCATAGATCGGAACAAAAGTTAAATTTTAATCTATGGTAACCGCGGTTAACTATGACATATGGACGTTGAACATCTCAGTCCTGCCCGTGATCATGAGTGCTGTAAAGCGTTCGAAACGTCGGGTAATTAAAAAGTTAAATACACGCGATAAATTCCGTAAAAACTAGTATTATTTCAATGTGTAGTGTTCGCGTAAATATAAGAAAATCATTATTACTATATCCCCTTAATAGTTTTTAACTATAGAAAGTTATTTTATGAAATAGAATAACTCATTTAATGAAAAAAAAAACTAAGCAAAAGTGTAATTCAAACATGGTACAACAGTGGTTGTAGGTAGAGAAATGCCTGTATCAGAGCCAAAGTGTACGTTATAGTATTCAGTAGAAGTATTTTGCATACCTTAAGCGCAAAACGCGTAAGTATGTTCTACTAGCGCCTAAAAATCAAGAATCCAACGTTTTGTCGCATGAAATCGTATCTAACAATCATACTGAACATATAAATGATATAAAGAGCACATTGTCAGAAAGATATATGATTGTTGAACTTATTATTATTTTTCATAAATCGATTAATTGCTATTTTTACATTAAGAAAGTAGTTTTAGTGGCTTATGGTGTAGATTTATCGCGTTCGCATGGAGGGGTAAACAGGACAACTTTTAAAAATATCAATTGTTCAACAAATCAATCAATTTTTTAATCTCTTCATCTATCATATGGGAAGCCATGGAATGTAAATGGCTGTTAAATTTTGTTTGTTTAGTTATAATTAATCTTTTTCGGTTGAGAAATTCCGAGATTTGTCGGTGTCTTAGGCAGCCTTGTAATAATATATTTAGTAAAATATAAATACAGAAACACTTTGACTCACTCCGGGCGAATAATTCCTTAGAGTGCTCTCCGTGGTAGATGCAACATAAAATGCAAAGAGATGCAACATCTCTTCGCAGCGTCAGTGAATCGAGCCGGTCAGAAAGGACTCGGTCGTCGACGATTCGAGCCGCTCTGAACTGCATGCGGTCACTTTTGTGATTTTGGTAAATCCGAAAGTGAATGCCTTAAGCGTTCATGTTATATATCAATTTTTTAAGTATTTTAAATACACACAAGTTTTCAAAAATAACTATATTACTATTACTTCTAATTTTCGTAAAATTTTTATGTCAAACGTTAATAGAAAAAGTTTGGAAAATCCAAAAGAGCACAACTCATAATGCTCATATGATCGTGAAAAAATATAGAAAATAATTCTCAATCAGCAACAGAAAATATTTTTTTTTCATTTTACTATGTTATTAATTATTATTATTTATTATTGAAATTCAAACTTTTTTTATAATTTTTTATTAAATTTTTTTTAACAGAATTATCTTAAAATGATCAGACATCTACTTTAATATTAGGTATGTACTTTAATTTTTAGGTATTTGTACTCAGGTATTAATTATCGTCGAAACTAGTCTTTTTTACTTGACTCATTAATAATTATGTTTCTCATCAACTTTATTTCGTTTCTAAAAGTGTTTCATATAGTCATAACCAGTATTTTAATTTAGCATTCACCAAAGTACATCTTCAGGTCGCTACATAAAGTCCAAGTCGCATAAGTATATTTATATATTAACCTACGTACTTTTAGGGAAACAATATATTGTAATTAAAATCTGTGATTATAAAATAATAATAATATCCTTACCTTAGTCAAGTATGTATCAAATTTGGTTTTTTCAATATTTTGTATATCTACAGTGATCGGTATTTTTCATCACGAGCCGCTGTAAACAAACGATACAGTAACTCACGACGGCGGCCGAGCCGGAGTCCGGAGTGATATACTAATATACGAGTATACTGCTTTCGAATTTCGATGATGTTAGTGCATATTTGATTTCCAATCAAATATTTGGATAGATTAGTTAAGAAAAAGAAGTAACAACATAAAATACAATATCACAGGTCAATGATTTAAATTCCAGTCAATATTTTGTAAAAATACAAAAGTTTACTTTACGATTTCACTTTTATTGTGGTTGGTCCATCGACTTATATATTACTAGCGTAAGGACCGGGCCGACCGAACAACTAAAATGGACCAGTGCGCTGGCCCTAAAATTACAGTTTAGGGCCAACGCGAATTGGTCGACAGTGGTGCGCGCGCAGGACAGATTTGCTTGTCATAAATATGTCTAGTTGCATGGTAAAAGAATGAAATAATTACGATACAAATTAAAAAAGGAACATGGGATATCGTATCATCGTTTAATAACCTTATATTAATTTTGTTACAATTAAATTAGTATATAAACGCATTTTTAAAGTTTTACTTTACAGTTCATTTAGTTACGTTACCAAGATTAGGCCAGGGCTGGATTCAGACCCTCAAAAATATTGTACATGGAAAATAAAATAATACTATTTAAAAAAAATATTTTATCACGTTTGACGTTTCATGTTTCTTTTTTCCCCATATGTCGGGATTTTTGGAGTCACGCGTCTAGTTTATCTATACGTTTGGTTTTTTGACGGTTTTATTTTTATTCCTGTTTTATTTTTGTCTAAAAAACTTAGTGTAAGTTAAATTTTGAATATTGATACCTAATATATTTCATATTATATAAGGGTAAAACGAAAAGAGTACAATAGAAACCATATCTGCTTAATTGAATCTGAAAATTAGATTTATAAAATATTTTGAAATTCTGTTTTCAAACCGATTGCTTCTGGAGCATTGAGTTTTTATCGTGATAGCTCCTCATTATAGTTGTATCAAGGATTCAACATAAATGTCAATAATTTTAAATTTATTAAAAAAACATGGTACTCATGTACAATACAGAAATTCTCGATATCGTAAAGTTAATATTAAAAAGTAAAATGATCCAATAATAATACAAGTCGACCTTTAGGTAAAATTATGGTATTTTCGCTTAGTATTATCACGATACTATATACTACAAACTATGAAATAATGGTACCGTGAATTCGACCCTGGTTACGTCGTGTTATGATATGACGTTTGTATTATGACAGATGTGCTAATTTTTCTTGTATGAAAAACTTATGAGTAAAATATTTAGATGGGCCTATCCTTCCTTTTGAACTCATTGGGTTGGTCCGATGTTTTTGACATCGTAATAGAAATATCAATTTTCTAATCATAATAAAAATATCAATGTCAATCTACATGTAACATGTAGGTTATACTGTGTGTGTATATACTGTGTGTACACAATAAAAGGCATGCTTAATAAACAGAATAAAGTTTTATTGAAGAATTTATTAAAGTGCGAAAAGAAAAGCGTTTCCTCTGACAAACTTCAAAAGGTATTTAAAATACAAACTAAAAAGGTAATTCTATTGGTTTCAGGTTCTACTGGGATCTATGTATGTTATTACTACTGGTGGCGAATCTTATCATCCTACCCGTTGCCATCTCTTTCTTCAACGATGACCTCAGCACGCGTTGGATTGCCTTCAACTGCCTATCAGACACCATATTCCTTATAGATATCGTTGTTAATTTTAGAACAGGTTAGTATTTTTTGGCTTCCTATAAAATCTATAATTGAAATTTTAAGCGTGTCTTACGTAACTGTTTTATTTCTTTTTTTAGGAATAATGCAGCAAGATAATGCGGAACAAGTGATATTAGATCCCAAGTTAATAGCAAAGCACTATTTAAGGACGTGGTTCTTCCTGGATCTCATCTCTAGTATACCACTAGATTATATTTTCTTGATCTTCAATCAGGTAAACGTACGTTGCAATTTGGCCGTGTTTCTTTTACTTGATTTAACTATCTTTTATGTTTTGACGTTCTGTTTCAGCTTGGGTCTTCATTTGTTTTATAGCAAAAATTATGTGTTATTTAGATTTTATTTGTACTTTTTTATTTTTTATTGTAATTTCTATACGACTGCCACGAGTATGTACAACGCGCCATCGTGTTATGTCGTGTATTTAAGGGTCTATCAAGTAAAGGTTTGATTGGCACTCTAAAGTCTTTTTCAAATTCTCAAAATGCATAACTTATCTTCTTTTAACGTTACACGTTTCTTAAACTACATATCTGCACGAGTTATATAACATAAGTAACCCATATGGATCTAAAACAAATTTCTTCGCCTTTAAAGGCCTCACCGTCAATAGATTATTACTGATCATATGGGGTGCTGATTTCAGATTTCCTATCTTTAGGTGTTGGTCTCTTTAAGCACACTTTTACTTTGTGCACTGTCAGCTTTCTATGATAAAAGTAATTAAGCACAATTTTCATTTTGTTTCGTATATTTATATTTGACTTTTGCAACTTGACCAGTTCTATGCACTTCAATTCTTCAATGTTACTGTTTTATTCGATCGTATATTTCCCTTCTTGTCTTGTAAAAGCATGACGTCTAATATAGCTTCTATTTCAATATATTATATTTTTTTTTTTGCTTTTATACGACTGTCACGAGTATGTACAACGCGCCTTCGTGTTAAGTCGTGTATTTAAGGGTCTATCAAGTAAAGGTTTGATTGGCACTCTAAAGTCTTTTTCAAATTCTCAAAATGCATAACTTATCTTCTTTTAACGTTACACGTTTCTTAAACTACATATCTGCACGAGTTATATAACATAAGTAACCCATATGGATCTAAAACAAATTTCTTCGCCTTCAAAGGCCTCACCGTCAATAGATTATTACTGATCATATGGGGTGCTGATTTCAGATTTCCTATCTTTAGGTGTTGGTCTCTTTAAGCACACTTTTACTTTGTGCACTGTCAGCTTTCTATGATAAAAGTAATTAAGCACAATTTTCATTTTGTATCGTATATTTATATTTGACTTTTGCAACTTGACCAGTTCTATGCACTTCAATTCTTCAATGTTACTGTTTTATTCGATCGTATATTTCCCTTCTTGTCTTGTAAAAGCATGACGTCTAATATAGCTTCTATTTCAATATATTATATTTTGTTTTTTTTTTTGGCTTCGAAAATATGTATTTATTTTTAGTTTTATACACAATAACTTTTGCGCTTGTGTATATGAATATTTTCTATTTATTTAACTGTTAATAAGGAACACGACCATATTGTAACATTTTTAATAATATACAGATATTAGTAATTCTACATAATATGTTGATAGACATTTATACTGTACATATGTACAAATATTATATTTAATATAATATTTTTATGCAAAAATTATACGAGCTTTATTTTATCCAAAGTTTTAAGAGCTTCCACTTATTTAATGTCAATAATTTATTGCTACGAGCAAAGTTTAATGTAATAAAAATAATAATAAATATTAATAATATATCAAAATCTATTATTAAAAGCTTGAGCACTTTTCTTTGGCTGAGACTATTATTGGCATCAACTATGCATGTCTTTTCACAACTGTAAAAAGGAAATTGTAAATTAATGTAATCGAATTGCAGTGCTCTGAAGAAACATTTGAGCTTCTTCGGAGTATCAGTAGTTTCGTACATCTGCTAAAACATTACTTTGATTCTGTTTACAGGACTTTAGTGAAAGCTTTCAAATTCTTCACGCGGGTCGTGCGCTAAGAATACTACGGTTAGCCAAGCTGTTGTCTTTGGTGCGATTGTTGCGGCTCTCAAGACTTGTCAGATATGTGTCGCAATGGGAGGAAGTATATGTAAGCCATCATCTCTTTTAGCCACCATTTCTGACTCATTAACTACTTGACCACTAACACTGCTCTAACTACATAACGCTCATATTTAATAACACGACATAATTAACACCCTACTTATATCCTTATAATATTGGATTAAATAAAGTGATACATACAGATAATATTGCATATTACATAAATTAATTTGATAAATTATAAAGTGATTGGCAAAAATATTGTGAATATATTGAAATTTAAATATGTCTAAAATTTTCCTAATAATATTTTTAAATTGTTATAGAAAGTAGTGATCCTAATAACGTGTCAATGGAATTTGTTGTAATCCTGTATTATACCAATGTTCCCACCCCCCCCACTGTATGTGAGCCCAAAGTCCCGCTCTGCACTTCTCTACTGCTTCTCTGCAAGCTTCTTTCTGCCTGAGCACGTTTTCACTCGTGAATCTTTCTCTTCTGTGTGCGCCCGCGCCGCGTCCGTGTCTCCGCTCGCCGCGACCGCCGACCCGAACCGTCCCACACTTGCCAAACGTGGATATAATTTGCTCATTTGTTCATTATGTTGCTGCTTATTCGAATCCGCTAGAACTGATGCGCTGACGCCGATTTTCTTTTTACTCACGATATTGTACAAAATAGTGTTGAAATACTTTATACACAACATAGATAAAGCTCAAAATATCGCGTCGTGATTTAGATCTCAGCAAATCCTAAATCAGTTTTGCAGTAAAAAAGAATCACCTGTAGAATTATTCAAGTAATTACACTATTAGCGATTTGATCTAACACTTTGTTCAAAAAATAAATCGTATTAACAATGATAATGCGCCCAAACGTAAGAGTTTAATAGTGGGCGATAAACTGAAATACGATACGAAGCTGAGAGTCATAGAGAAGTGGAGTACGGGGAGGGTGGTGGTGACAACATCGCAGTGACGGTGTTGTGTGCAGATGAGCCCTGCTCCGCAGCCGAGCGACGAGCCGGGCGACGCGGACGGCGGGGGTTCCCGAGACCTCGCCTCGCAGGTGCCGCATGCCCGCGCCGGCTAGCTACCGTAGGGGCCTAGCCCGCGAATCGCTCGTCTCGGTGTTAGTGCATCTTGTGTGCCCGCACGCCTCACGCCCCGCCCCGCCCCGCCCCGCACCATCCAGCGATGACCTCTGTTTGCCGAACCCGCCCGCGCTCCTGTCGAGCGCGCCTGGCTCTCTTCCTACTATCTCGTGTTTCTCGCTTGTTTTCTAGATCTTGCAGAACCTTCAAAAAAAGCGCACCGAACGGAGAGGACGGCTCAGCTCCGACGTTGCCAAAAAGAAGAGTGACACCAAAAGCAATCTGATCTTCAAGGTAACCCCAGGGTCGGCACGAGCCGGCGTGCATGTACACGTTCGCCAGCTTTTGCATGCTGCCGGCACCGTCCGGCGTCCTTCACACCGCTGCTTCGCTTTCTATCTTTCGTTGGCGTTTCTTTCCAACCCTAGTCCCGCCGGCGGGCGCGCAGGCGGCGTAAGAGCCACGCGGCCGTGCGGCGGCCGCGGCCGCGTGCCTCTCCACGTTTAGCCCTCCTCGTGATCGCATGCTCGCTCAATGACGTTCACGCGTTCACATCTTAATTTTCACTACTTTACGAATCCATCGGTAGTGATCATCGATGCTTAACCTCAAGCGTCTTTGTCGCGCGCAGTCCGCACGGCTTCCCTTAGAGGCCAAAATACCGATCCGGCGTATTTGTTCACACATAATCGTTCTGTTCACAGTTCCTCAACATGGCGTCAGTGTTTATGCGGATATTCAATTTAATCTGCATGATGCTGTTAATCGGCCACTGGTCGGGATGTCTACAATTCCTCGTTCCAATGCTTCAGGGTTTTCCACCGAACTCGTGGGTGGCTATTAATGAACTACAGGTGGGTTGTAAAATGAAAGCAATAAAATTACATTTAAAGTTTTACATACGTAGGGGTGTAAGGGAGTATATATCATAACGATTTCTTATATTTACGCGAACACTACACATTGATTAAAACTATTTTTACGGATTTTATCACGTTTATTTTACTATTATTTTTAATTCCCGACGTTTCGGGCGCTTTCCAGCACCTATAACCACCTATAATCAATAAAATTAAAACTAAACCCAAGCATACCACTACAAGACCTCAGGACATAGTCAGTTCATTTTGCATAGATCGGACCATAAACAATAATTAAAAAAGCTGAAGGTACTCCGGGTTTAACAATGACATCGGGACGTCAGTCATCTCAGTCCCCCGTGACCATGGGTGCTGGAAAGCGCCTGAAACGTCGGGAATTAAAAATAATAGTAAAATAAACGCGATAAAATCCGTAAAAATAGTTTTAATCAAAGTATATATCATTTTTTTTTACTTATTACCAACCTCATCTGCGAAAGATCGTGGTGAGTTTGAGAAAATCTTCCAAGTATATATAACACTTGACAGCTGACGCGTCATAGAACATAGAATACTATAATACATACATAATAGAACGGGGGAGTGGGCGGAGCCCCTATAGCCACTAAAATGTCACTAACACGAGATATGTTTTGACGTTACAATCGTTTCCAAATTTCGCATGCAAATTATTTAGAAAATGCCAAATTGCAGGCTATTCACAAATATATATGTATTAAAATCCGTCTGTCAACACAGCGAATCGGGTTTGTAGTAGTGATTAACTGATAATACGACGTAATTGCTTGTATCTGTGCTCCCGGCGACGCTGAATCTCTAACAAAATAAGGTTGACAGCCATTCTATTGTGTGTTATAGTATTCTTTGTCATAGAAGTTGCTACGGCCAAACGTTCAGCTGTATAATTAAGACAGGTGGTAAGAAATACAGAAATCTTATTTTGTTAAAATTTGGTTCAATGTAGTAAACGCTAAAAAAATGGAGGCATTCCCAGCGCCCGAAAATGACTAAAACACTAATTGCGTTACCGTTGGCTTTACTTCAAAATTTCGCTGCGGACGAGTTCAATTCGCCTAGCTATATTTCACGTATTGCGTATATTATACATAGAAAATTTGACTTAATAAAAATAAATGCCTACATCAATGAACTAAGAACAAAGAACAAAATAATTTGGACATAATTGCTTCACAAGTTGGTGCTCCATAGTGTACAAAAGTATTAAAAGTCGCGACTTCTGAAGAATAAAATTTAGTTTTAGTACGAGTACTTTAAAGTCGACTTTTACTTTTTATTCAGGCTAATTTTTGACCCTTTTTGGGTAGACTAAGGAAAATCAAAGCTTGAATATCTTCTAAACAGTGACATTAGAATGTTCATACCCTATTTTTCCACCGTTAGGGACCACAGACCATAGAAAATCGGTCCATAATTGACGAAAATATTTAGTAACATACATACAAAAAAGAACACACTCGAATTAAAATTCTAATGAGATCCTCCTTTTTATGAAGTCTGCTTAAATGCCTTTTTGTACAATGAAGGAATGTATAAAGCAAATTTTTTATTCCTCAGTGGTGAAATCAGCCTGTAGCCTGTTTTTAGGTATTCATGGATTACAATAGCTATTTACGATCAGGTGAAAAGTATAAACAAAATGTAAATGCTTGTACAAAATAACTTATACTCCATAAAGTATTATCAGATGATATTAGAAAATATTTTAAAACTATTAATATTAATAAAACCGCGGATATTGAGAATTTCCGTTAAATTTATTGCATCTATTATACATAGCCATTATTGTTAATACTTGTATCAATCTAAAGTGTCTCCTGGTTTAATGAAACAGTAAAACATAACTTCATTTAATTTGGCAACATTAGAAACTGCTAACTTAAGACATATTTCTATATTACCAACACTAAGTAATTTTTTGTAAAATAATACTAGTTCAAATGTTAAGTGCTTTTTGTTTTAATATTATATTGAAAATTACTTTAAAAATTATTTCAAGATAAAGAATATTTCTCAGAAACTACTTTACGTCATAAACATAAAACAGACAATAAGACATAACTAAAATAGTCAGGGAGCCACATCGTTATGGTGTAAAGAACATATCCCTTAAACATAGTATCTCATATTTTAGGCGTAGAAAACGAACTGTTCTCATAAATTCTTCCGGGTCGGTAGTATGGCTCAATTCTTGAACTCTTAGCTTATATTAATGATTTACCTTACCTAGAAAAATGTAATCATAATTTAGTTTTTTTATTGATGATACTGCAGTTTCATACGTGGTAGAGCCATGCTGCAGTTATATTAGTAGCATAGTTGTAGCACGAATGGGTCGGCTCGACCGGGGAAGGACCACGCTCTCACAGAATACCAACTTGAAATAGTACCTTAATGCTGCTATGTTTCGTATGGTGAGTGTAGAGAACCGGAGACCCTTTTTACTGGAAACGAGGCCCTCCATCTTAGTCCTTACGGGTGAAAACGCATCTGCATTTTGATTTGCAATCGAGGATAGATGTAGATGTCTATGGGCCGCAGCAACCACTTACCATCAGGTGGACTGTGTGTTCGTTTGTCACCCTATCCTATAAAACAAAAAACAAAACAAAAACAGTTTTAGTCTTTCTTTGATTTTTTGATTTTAAACGGCAATTGCTAAAATACGTTTGAAGTGAGGAATGCTCTATCTAAACTAGTACACTGGTTAAAAGCTAATAATTTGTTTTTGAACGAGAATAAAACTAAATGTATTAGTACAGCACTCAATGTTAAACTCGTGGACACCAGTGTGCTTTTAAATGGGGAGAAGCTGAGTCTTAATGAATTTACTGGTTTTTTTTTCGTAATTACAGTTGAAGCGAAACTTCCGTATGGCCACCATATAAACGATACTAGCTAGCAAACTTGCTTCTAAACATGTACTCTAAAAAGATCAGATGTTTTACTTGTGTAGAAACAGCTAGATTCGTTTATTTTAATTATTTCCATAGCATAATGACGTATGAAATCTTGGTTCGGGATAATGTGTCTGACATTAAAACTATCTTTGTATTGCAGAGAGAAGCTATAAGAGTTACTTATAACCTAGTATAAGACAGTAATAGCCAAAAGAGTACAAAGACTCACCAACTGCTTCATAAAAATATGTACGGCCTATCAAACAATAAATTAATTTTTTCATTAAACCATAGCGGTATAAAAAAGTTAATTTATAGATTATATATAGGTACTATATATAAATAGGTTGAGTATAACATTAAAGAATGCATAATTTATTATAACTTCTGGAAATCATGGGATTGCTATCACGCTGTTTTAAATGTTTTTTGTAATGTACATCGTTTTTTAAAGCATCCTGTTTGGTTTCTGGTTGTTGGTTCTTTCTAAGACAGGAGATTTTTTCAGAATTTTAGATTGATTTCAGAAATAGTGGAAAAGCATAAAATGTTGTACTTATTTACATCGTATTTTAACTAAGTATAAGATGAACAGTCCATATTTGGATACTTCCATAGAAGGAACTTCCATAGAAGGAAAAATTAAGTAGAATCTAGTTAAAAATATTTGTGATTCCTTCGTTTGCTAATATAGTTTCTATAAATATTACAGGAGGCGTTCTGGTTAGAACAATATTCGTGGGCGCTGTTCAAAGCCATGTCTCATATGCTGTGCATTGGTTACGGCCGGTTTCCACCTCAATCCCTCACCGACATGTGGCTTACAATGCTATCGATGATCTCTGGGGCCACCTGCTATGCACTTTTCCTTGGTCATGCAACCAATCTCATCCAGAGTCTTGATTCCTCGCGAAGACAATATCGTGAAAAGGTAAACGTTTATGCTCGTTGTCATTTGTTCATAACTTCGTATATCTTCGTCTTTTATATACGTTCAAGATTTTCATGAGGCTGTAAGCTGTTATGAACATATTAAAATCATTCCTCTTAAAATACAATAAGCATTCATAGCATTACCGTTATAGCGTTAAATTTACTTTTAATTTTTCTAATATTCGCATGTTTTCATAATTCCTTTTTAAATAACTACTAATTATTAGTCATTGCCTGTTTCAGAAACTAGACGTGAGTACGGATTGCATGATTGTTAAATGGGTTCCTTTGTAGGGGATCGCAAAATCATTGTTCATCACTTGGTTAAACACTCTCACGCATTATAATGTGTAGAAGATATTAATAATCATTGTCATATTACATTTTTCACATTAATAACAAATGTTCATAACAGTTTGCTTTTGATTTCTCTTTTGCCTCTCTTTGCCATTCTTTAATGTGTAGTTCCTTACATATAAATATAATCAAGTGAGATAAAATCTAATATACCACTGCTTCATTTTGTTCAACAGCAAAGTGTGTGCGTGTGTAGATATTTTCTAACCAACACCTTATTAGCTTGTCTCTTATACGAGATGGCTCTAAATAACGTTGACAATTGATTTTAAAATTATTTTATTAACTTTTAAGTCGATTAAAATAACTTTACTCATAAAAATACACCTCATTTTGTACAAGAATATTAATTAAAGACTATCTATAACGTGGTTCCCAAGATTCACAACATTTTTCTCATCTTGATCTGTGATCTTAATCTTTATAATCGTAATTTTGTTCGATAATGTCCGATGTATCAAAGAAAGACAGGCATCCTAAAAGTACTGAGTTTCGTATTCTCGTAGGATGATACTCAATTTCTTGCCTTGCTCATTATAGCATTTTAATTGCCACAGAAATTGTACAAAAGAAAATGCAAAACTTTACGTTTTTGAAATTTTTATGTTTTGATTTTGTGAACGTTATTTAAAGTCACGGTGTAATTATATTTTTATTATAGCGTACTTACATTATCTATATGATATTTAAGGTGAAACAAGTAGAAGAATACATGGCCTATCGCAAACTACCTCGTGAAATGAGGCAACGTATCACCGAATACTTCGAGCATCGTTACCAAGGCAAATTTTTCGACGAAGAGCTTATCTTGGGCGAGCTTAGCGAGAAACTACGCGAGGATGTCATCAATTACAATTGTCGCTCACTTGTTGCCTCGGTGCCGTTCTTCGCTAACGCTGATTCCAACTTTGTTTCGGATGTCGTCACTAAACTACGTTACGAAGTCTTCCAACCTGGTAAATATAATGTATTTATATAATGTTTTATATACTGTATGTACAGCAAAACGGATCACTTGTTGAATTAACTCAGTATCTGTCTGCCTATCACAAAGGATTTCATCTGAGTGTTTCACGTAGATGATTGGAATATGACATAGCTGTTTTCACTAGAGTTGGGTTGTAGCTAAGTTTTTGGGGAACGAAACTAAACTATAGACAGATTTTTATACGTGGTAGAGCCTTGCTGCAGTTATGTTAGTAGTATAGTTGTAGAACGAATGGGTCAACTCGACCGGGAGTAGTTACGATGTACCAGTTATGGCTCACTGAGTCAGAAGTGGTACAACGTTCGTCAACTCACGATCATAAAAAAAAAGGTTTTGGCATGCTCTGATAACGAATCTGCGGTTTTGCGTAGGATGCACGGTTCCGGAGATGTGCAGATCAATTAACCAATATCTAATTGATATCCGGTAAAGGCCTCCACCGTCATCTCCATACGTCCCATTGTTCTTATCTATTGTCATTGTCTATTCTTCCTCGGCGTGTGCGTTGACTTATCAGTGCTATTGTATTATACTTCTTTGTTCCTAACTACAACGCTAATCTGAATCATCAATAAAACACATTACCTACTTTTGTTAGAATTTTTATTTACAAAATACAAAATCTTATTACTTATTATCTATAAAATAGGAGCGAAACATCTCATCCACTAAAATATCGTTGTACAATGTGTTCCCTGTAAGTATACTCGTAAAACTATGTGCATTGAACGTCCCTGAAACTTATATAGCGAATACATTATGCAATATTCGCCACAAACTGAAGTCCACTCATTCTGAATCCTATCAACATTCCAGTTCCATCTTTTACAATTCCTTTTAAAAAACTCTAGATGATATCGTACAGGTGCTCGTTCATATGAATCAAAATATTGACCGACGTCATTTGTATCGATATATAAAGCTACCCAATGTGAACCTGGTTATTATATACGTTGGTACGTGGGTATACATGGGCAGTCTATTAGCAGTATAAACATTATTTTCTAGACTGGGGTGAATCTTTTTCAGATGTTGTTGTACATCTAGAATATCCATGATATTACTGCTATTAGTAGATTATTACAGTACCAATCTACTCAATGACTACATAGGAATGGTCAATTATAGTGATTTCTAAATATTAAATCGCATTCTTTTGTGTTATACAAATCGTATTTGAGTCATCGATACATCGAACAAGACACAACACGAAGGATTGTTGAGATATGCAACAGAATGTGAGATAAGCTTGTTGACGCATAAAGTTACTATCAGTTACACTGCAGAAATTCTTGAGATTAGAATTATTACTTACTGGTGCTATATAAGACCGAGCAGCTGCAGTCGTGGAGTTAGTATATGGTCGTTTGACCGCAGTGGATCTATCAATACTACATTGTGTTACGTCAACGCATCAAATGCCATGGACGTAAGTGTTTATTGACTATTGACAAACTTACTTTTCTTTCTGTTATTTTCTTACGTGTGTTGATTTAGTGTTAACAAATTATATTTAAATATTGTGTGTGTATATGATCAAGCAGTGGTAGCTCAGATGGTTAGCGCAAGCTGTAAATTTCACGGTACGCGACCTGGGTTCGATACCCGCCGGCATTAATTAAATTATTAATTGCAATTTTAAGTGTTGATTTACCACGTGCGCGGCGGTGAAGGAAAACATCGCGAGGAAACCTGCATGTCTGAGAAAATTTCGAAGGCATGTGAAATTTGCCAACACACATTGAGGTAGCGCGGCGGACATTTCCTAGTCCTAAATACAAAGACAATAGCAGAAAGTGAAAAAGTTAAAAAATACTTTTTTAACAATGACAGTCATTAGCTGATCATTAGTGAATGTGATTCTGTTTACTTAATTTACAGGAAGACAAGAGCAGAAGGAAGAGATGGGATGATGGGAAGTAATGAAGCATTCACCGACCACATGACCGAAGAATTAAAATGTGCCTATAAACAAGAAAACATCATTCCCATATTAAATTGGTAGATTAGAAATTTGTGCAAAGACGAAGTGGTCACAAAATTTTACATTGTTCTTGTGATGAAGTGTGGGTTTTGGTTTTGGTACCTTTGTATGCGACCACTTCGTCTTTGCATAAATTTCTAATGTACCAATTTAATATGGGAATGATGTTCTCTTGTTTGTAGGCACATTTTAATTCTTCGTTCACGTCAAAATATGGAATGCCTTTCACGTGTGTTTCACAATAACAAACAGTTATTTTGTCTTTTGGCGACAAATAATTGAAAGGATAACTTGGCCGAAACAAATAATTATCGATAAACGCATAATTTTCATTAGATAGTGTTACGTCTAGAATAGCCATTTCTCTACATTGAAAATGTTTATGAGGATATGTACCTAATGTAAAATTCGTCCACGTCGATGATGTATCTAATGTTTTTTAGATTTTATGTCATTTTGAACCAAAAAGTTAAAAGTATTTACACGTGACTAAAAATATGTTTATTCCAACAAACTTCACATAATAATGCTTCATTACTTCCCATCATCCCATCTCTTCCTTCTGCTCTTGTCTTCCTGTAAATTAAGTAAACAGAATCACTTTCACTAATGATCAGCTAATGACTGTCATTGTTAAAAAAAGTATTTTTAACTTTTTCACTTTCTGCTATTGTCTTTGTATTTAGGGCTAGGAAATGTCCGCCGCGCTGCCTCAATGCGTGTTGGCGAACTTCACATGCCTTCGAAATTTTCTCAGACATGCAGGTTTCCTCACGATGTTTTGCTTCACCGCCGAGCACGTGGTAAATCAACACTTAAAATTGCAATTGACAATTTAATTGGAGCCGACGGGGATCGGACCCAGGTCGCGTACTGTGAAATTTACAGCTTGCGCTAACCATCTGAGCTACCACGGCTTAATCATATACACACACAATATTTAAATATAATTTGTTAACACTAAATAATACACACGTGAGAAAATAACAGAAAGAAAAGTAAGTTTGTCAATAGTCAATAAACACTTACATCCATGGCCTTTGATGCGTTGAAGTAACACAAATGTAATATTGACAGATCCACTGCGGTCAAACGACCATATACTAACTCCAAGACTGCAGCTGCTCGGTCTTATATAGCACCAGTAAGTAATAATTCTAATCTCAAGAATTTCTGCAGTGAAACTGATAGTAACTTTATGCGTCAACAAGCTTATCTCACATTCTGTTACATATCTCAACATTCCTTCGTGTTGTGTCTTATTCGATGTATCGATGACTCAAATACGATTTCATCATCATCATCATCATTACAGCCCTTTACAAGTCCACTGCTGAACATAGGCCTCCCCCAAGGTATGCCACAAAACACGGTCCTGAGCTACCTGCATCCATCGACTTCCTGCATGTCTTACCAGGTCGTCACTCCATCTAGTGGGGGGTCGCCCTACGCCCTACACTTCGTCTACCGGTACGAGGCTACCACTCGAGAAACTTTTTTTCCCCAACGGTTGCGGGTTCTTCGAGCTATATGGCTGGCCCATTTCCACTTCAGCTTACTAATCCGTTGGGCTATGTCGGTCACTCTGGTTCTACTGCAGATATCCTCATTTCTAAGTTTATCACGCAGAGAAACTCCGAGCATAGCCCTCTCCATAGCTCGCTGAGCGACTTTGAGCATCCTCATACGGCCAGCAGTGAAGGACCACATCTCAGATCCATATGTCATCACTGGCAACACGCACTGGTTGTACAACTTAGTTTTCAGGTTTTGAGGTATACCTGACGAGAAGATGTGTCGTAATTTCCCGAACGCTGCCCAGCCGAGTTGAATCCGTCGATTAACCTCTCGGTCGAAGTTGGACTTACCTAGCCGGACTATTTGTCCCAGGTAAACGTACTCGTCAACAACTTCGAGCTTAGTGCTCCCAACAACTACCGGCATAAGTGTGACATGGACATTAAACATGATCTTTGTTTTGTCCATGTTCATCTTAAGACCTATCCGTTGGAAGGCACTATTGAGGTCATTGAGCATAGTGCTTAAGTCCTCCAGCGATTCTGCCATAAGGACTATATTGTCGGCAAATCGAAGGTGAGTGATGTACTCGCCATTGATGTTAATACCGTATCCTTTCCAGTCCAGTAGTTTGAAAACGTCTTCCAATGCAGCGGTGAAGAGTTTCGGAGAAATAACGTCACCCTGTCTTACATCTCTCTGCAGTTGGATAGGTTTCGTACTCTGGTTCTGTACTCGGATAGCCATCGTAGCCCTACTGTACAATTACTCCAGCACTTCGATATACCGACAGTCAACTTGGCACCACTGAAGAGACTATAGCACCGCCCAAATTTCGACGGAATCAAAGGCTTTCTCATAATCTACATACGCCAGGCAAAGTGGCAGATTGTACTCTTCGGACTTCTGTACAATTTGCCGAAGGGTATGTATGTGGTCTATGGTACTAAAGCCTTTTCGGAAACCGGCTTGTTCGGGAGGCTGGAAGTCGTCGAGTCTGCGTGCGAGACGATTCGTAATGAATCTCGAAAACAGCACGTAGACGCGGCTCAGAAGGGATATCGGTCTGTAGTTCTTCAAGAGGGCGTTGTCACCTTTCTTGAAGAACAAGACCACCGCACTTCTGCTCCAGGCCTCCGGAGTAGTGCCACCATGGAGGACGGAATTGAAGAGCTTCTGAAGGACTTCAAGTACCGGTGTTCCACCCGCTTTCAGAAGCTCCGCTGTAATTCCATCCTCGCCTGGGGCCCTGCCGTTTTTAAGGTGCTGGAGAGCCATTCTAATCTCGCTCAGACTGACGTCCGGGATATCATCGGAATAGTGTCGGATAAGATTTGCTCTTGAATCGTTACTCACACTTGCGTGTGGCTCCAAGTATGATGTGTACAGTTGCCCATAGAACCTCTCAATCTCACTCAGAATCTCAGGTGTCCCAGAAACGATGCTGCGACACTCAGTTTTCAGCTTTGACAGTTGGCTCTTACTGGCAGACAGATCTCTGGCAAAGACTTTGGAGCCCTGGTTCCGCTCAATCGCTTCTTTGAAGAATAGAGAATAAAAAGAATAGCGTATTGATACGAGCAGTATTAAATTTACGTAAATCTCGCCGCATGCATTTGGAGATCTGTCTGTTCAGTTGCCTGTATGTTGTCAAATCTGTTGACGATTGCAGCCTCATCTCCCGTCTAACAGCCATAAGATTAAGAGTGTGATCGGAGAGCTTTTGTGTTCTTCAGCGGCCGGTCTTGCAGAACTTAGCTCCGACCGCATGGACAGTTTCCACGAGCTTGTCATTCATATCGTCCACTACATTGCAATCTTCTAGGCACTGAAAGCGGTTTCGTAACTCGAGCTGAAAGGTTTCGGGATTCTGGATTAAAGCACGAGGGGGACAGAGCGTTGACTTCATTAGACGAGACCTCTCCAACTTAACGTTTAGATTCAGTGTGCCTCTAACCATTCGGTGATCGCTGCCAATTTTCACCCTTGCGGTCACTGAGACATCACTGAACAGTTGGCGTCTGGTCGTCATAATAAGTCATAAGTCAATCTCATTTTTTGTTGAACCATCGGTGTTCGACCAGGTCCACTTCTTGTGGGGTCGCTTCTGGAAGAAAGAGTTTATCATAAAAAGTCCCTCTTTCTCCATGAAGTCGGCCAGCTGCTGGCCCCTACGGTTGTTCCGTTGCCCTACTCCGAATTTCTCTAACTTCAGCTCACCGATTTCTCTTGTGCTTAGTTTTGCGTTAAAGTAAATACGATTTGTATAACACAAAAGAATGCAATTTAATATTTAGAAATCACTATAATTGACCATTCCTATGTTAGTCATTGAGTAGATTGGTACTGTAATAATCTACTAATAGCAGTAATATCATGGATACTCTAGATATACAACAACATCTGAAAAAGATTTACCTCAGTCTAGAAAATAATGTTTATGCTGCTAATAGACTGCCCATGTATACCCACGTACCAACGTATATAATATGCAATTTGGATACAGACGATAAACCAGGGTCATATTGGGTAGCTTTATATATCGATACGAATGACGTCAGTCAATATTTTGATTGATATGGACGATCACCTGTACGATATCATCTAGAGTTTTTAAAAAGGAATTGTAAAAGATGGAACTGGAATGTTGATAGGATTCGTAATGAGTGGACTTCAGTTTGTGGCGAATATTGCTTAATGTATTTGCTATATAAGTTTCAGGGATGTTCAATGCACATATTTTTACGAGTATACTTACAGGGAACACATTGTACAACGATATTTTAGTGGATGAGATGTTTCGCTCCTATTTTATAGATACTAAGTACTAAGATTTTCTATTTTGTAAATAAAAATTCTAACAAAATTAGGTAATGTGTTTTATTGATGATTCAGATTAGTGATGTAGTTAGGAACAAAGAAGTATAATACAATAGCACTGATAAGTCAACGCACACGCCAAGGAAGAATAGGCAATGACAATAGATAAGAACAATGGGACGCTAATGACGGTGGAGGCCCTCACCGGATATCAATTAGATATTGGTTAATTGATCTGCACATCTCCGGAACCATGCATCCTACGCAAAAACGGACCACAGATTCGTAATCAGAGCATGCCAAAACCTTTTTCTTTTTTAGGATCGTGAGTCGTAGTCGACGAACGTTGTACCACTTCTGACTCAGTGAGCCAGAACTGGTACAACGTAATTACTACCGGGGAAGGACCACACTCTCCCAGAATACCAGCTTAAATAGTAGCTTAATGCTGCTGTATTTCATATGGTGAGTGTAGAGAACCGGAGACCCTTTTTACTGGAAAAGAGACATTCCATCTTAGTACTTAAGGGTGACAACGCATCTGCATTTTGATTCGTAATTGAGGATAGATATAGATTACTATGGGCCACAGCAACCACTTACCATCAGGTGGACTGTGTGCTCGTTTGTCACCCTATCCTATTTAAGAAAACTACATATCGTAATGGCATGCCCGCTCGATTTCGTATACACCAGACCAGTATGCGGTATACATGCCATGTGTAGTGACATCCTTCCCCTTCCGTTTCACCTCATTTACACATAAGACCTTCTATCATTAGACTAGACTATTCCTCTATCATACATCATATCGCATACTTCATCCGTTTTATCATTCATTGCTCAACATACATTCAACGTAGCCATCCGGGCCTCTGCAATCCACTTTTCGCCCCTCCGGAAGAACGTGACGGGTGGCGAACCTCGTCACCGGTTTCCCTCCCGGAGATTCTTGACACCCCTGCTCCATTAAAGGGGCACCGGGAACTCGAGGCCATTTCTTTTATTTGGCTCCTCATGGTGCGAAATATAGGGTGGTATATTTAACGCCGCTACCATACGGCGAGGAGCCGAGTCTGTACTTTCGGCTTGTCGCTCGTTTAGCCGGAGGACACTTGTAGGGTGGGCCTAGGATTAGGTGGTCAAAGCCTACGGACGCGAGCGACTTTTCCCCCCTAAAGAAACATTCGAAATAATAATCTAATAATTTTATACTTATTGGTACTGGTACTACCAGAAAATAATGTCAGTAAACTGCACTTTTTCAAAGTGGTGCGGTTCTCATGTCTAATAAAACAGTCGTCTGTGAAATGTTTAGAACAAAGATGATCATTTTGGTTCGGACGTCAATTCACAACATTTATGCTCTTAAGCCATAGTTTTAGTTTAGGTTCAGTTGGAAACCTGTTAGTTAATAAACATTTGATAATTATTTGTTGTTGGCGACTTTGTTTGTTAACAGATATGGGTAGGAAAGAACATCGACAAATATTATAGACCAGGAACTCGACAACCCTATTGAATTTTATTGTTTATCAAAACTCATTAATATACTACCAAAAATGGTGTTAATTGTGATATTAAGATTAGTAGCAAATTTTTAAGTACCTATATTATGAAATAGTTTTAATTTGTTTAATATTAGCTGCAAATCCACTTACTTTGGCATATTATGTCAATATCAGTTCTCAAGACGACCAATAGTTGTGCTTCAAATTGGCTCGGACATTTTGTATGGTATAGCCAATCCAGCGTACTTATATATATATATATATATATATACCACAGTTTCGATTTCACAAAACTGTGGTATCGTGAAAAACACGAAGTAACGATTGAAGTTAGGCAGCACAGGCAAATGCCTACTAAAGCTCATGAACACCTGCAGCTTACTTCAAATAAAGAAGGCGTTGTTGCAATTGCTTTCTATACGCAATTGGTATAAACTTCTTATTTGTGAGAGAGAAAGGGCGCGAGAAGTCTGGTGGCGCGGAGCACCAATTATGCATTACTATGTTTTTCATCGATTTTTTTCGCATTTTGTGTCAAAATTTTGATAAATTTGAATCTTTATAACGTTCGATGTATTTTTACAGGCGATATCATTATTAAAGAAGGAACCATCGGAAGCAAAATGTACTTTATTCAAGAAGGAATCGTGGACATTGTTATGGCGAACGGCGAAGTAGCTACCAGCCTGTCCGATGGCTCCTACTTCGGCGAAATTTGTTTGCTGACCAACGCTCGCCGAGTCGCCTCCGTCCGCGCCGAGACTTATTGCAATCTGTTCTCGCTCTCCGTGGACCACTTCAACGCGGTGCTCGATCAGTACCCTTTGATGCGACGCACGATGGAGAGTGTCGCCGCCGAGAGGCTCAACAAGATCGGCAAGAATCCGAACCTCGTGGCGCACCGCGAGGACGACACCACGTCTGAAGGCAATACGATCAACGCAGTGGTGAACGCGCTGGCGGCGGAGGCGGAGCACGTGAGCCTGTCGGACGACAGCGTGGCGCGGCTGTCGGAGCGCTCGTTGGGGCTGGCACTGCAGCCACTGCAGGCCGCGTCGTGCCGCATGGCGGGCGTCGCGCTGCCTGGCCTGGGCGTCGCCGCTGCGCTGCCCCGCCCCAAGTCCGAGCACGACTTCAGCCTGGCGCAGACGCAGCAACCGCCGCTAGCCGCGGCCGCCGCCTTCCACAAGTCGGACGCCGGCATAGCGCCCTGACGCCGCACCATCTGCTAGTGCAGCGCCACCGACCGATAGCAATACTAGGCTTAGTGCGAGCCCGCCGCCTCGCTAGTTGTAGCGTAGACGCGACGCAGCCGCGACCTTGCCGCGACCTCGCCGCGACCTCGCCGCGACCTCGCCGCGATCTCGCCGGGCGCGCCCCACCACGCCGCCCGCTGAATCTCATTTTGTGATCTTATACTTAATTCTCCTGTGTTATAATTTAGGTTAAATTTTATATCATTGACGCTGTGAGGATCGAATACGTTACGTATTCCGATTATATAGAATATACCTGTTATATATTGAAGATTGATAACTATTGAAACTTTATAGGGATACCTTGCCATTAAAAGAAAAAATAATTAATTATATAGACTAGACTGAGATGTAAAGATATCACTATTTTATGCTTTGTTGGCGTATGAAATAGTCGCTATTGTTGACGGATGCGAAATATTCTATCGCGAGATTATGAACGTATGAGATGTACCTTTGAACGTTCCTGGTGAAACGTCGGAGATGTTATATATTTGAAGTTATTTACTATATACACATGCGCTGGGACGTAGACCGTAGGTGAGGCCGCGCTAGTGCGGGCCGCTCGCGTGCACAGCAAATACGAAGCACAACACACATCGTTAAAATCTCACTAAATCAAGAGCACCGATGCTTTCTTAAGTTTAATAATAAGTAGGCAAACCGACAGATAACGATCTAACGAATGCTTTCGGTTTCCTGAGTAGAAGCGAATCTGTAGCGCTTCGGAATGTTTTCTTTATGTAAATATTGTAATTTTCAGAATTCGCCTGTAGCGTTTGTTTAACAGAAGTGATCTACGTGCATTCACTGCAGCAGTCCAGTCAATTATCACGTGTGCTCGTGACGCGAGGCGAACGTTTCTGTTCTCGGTGCACCAACTACACTTCGTACCTTGTTTTAATTCTAAGTGAAATAATAATTTATTATCGATAGTGATCATTTTGTAGGAGTAAGTAGGCCGGAGCGGTAACAAATTTGGACGAATTACGTTATGTGATAGGCAGTAAAGGCTGCACGCACACCGACAACCATTTGCTCGCCGCCGGCTCGGAAGCGTCGACCAATTTAGTAGTATTAGGCACGAGTAGCTCAAGTTTGCATGCGATTAACGCTTTCACTTTGCTAAAAACAAAATTTTATCCTCATAATTTCATTCTACCTAGTGAATACTCTGACAGCACTTAAAGTAGACGACGTAATTGCTTCACAGACTGGCGACTTAGCAATAACTAGGAAACGCCGAGACATATCGTAGAGGACGCGAGGACGACACCGAGCCGACGGCGATTCTGCTTCGGCATTCATCGTTGACTAATTCTTATAGTGTCATGACAATTTGTAAAGATCGTTTTGCAAAAATGTTGACTTTTTAGCCAAATATAGTTAATTATTACGAACGAACCAATACGCAGTAGCTTAATCGTAGATAAATGCAGCCTAGTTCTCAGTTTATCGGTTAACACCAATAGATACTTTATAATAGATACTTTATACTCATAAGATATTTATACGATTAATCTTAGCAGAGTGACTATCTGTCAATTTATCTACAAAGAAAAAGTATAAATTGCGTTTGTTCCCCAAAAGCATTTATTTATTGTTGTTTTAACTAATATTGCCGCTTTTACAAAATTATATAAGTTTTATAGAAGAGATCTATTTTTATTGTCAAGTTGAGCTACTGAAAGTAAAAATCTGTATAGAATCAGGGGTTTTTTTAAATCTCGAATTTTAAAAATAATATTCTAATTTATAGTATCTATTTTCACCAAAAGTGCTCATCGCTGTCAAGAAATTAGCAAAAATGCATTAAAGAATGATGAAAACCGTTTTGTTGTTTTATATTTTCCTATATACAGTTTTAACTATACACAACAAATCAAATAGGTACTAGAGTGGAGTTTTATTTTATCGATCAATAGTTTATTCTATTCGTTACATAAACATAGAAGAACAGAGCCTAAACCAGAAATAAAACTTAAACTGAAAGGGTTAAAGTTATAGATTTAATGTGAACTTTGCATAGCACCTTATTCTTGTAAATAATAAGGTACGTGAGGGTAATATAGTCACCTTAAGTTTTGCCGCCCTACGAGGGCGGCACTGAAAATTTCGGGAATCAAGGAAGTGACACAACATTACTATTTAAAAATGTATTGTGGCCGTGGAAGGAAAAGGGGAGATCTCCCGCCGGGCAAGGTGTTCTGTCCGGGGGTATTTATTGCTTTTCGAAGTATTCTCCGCGAAATTTGACAAATTTTTCCATACGATGGAACCAATCATTGAAGCATCCATTCCATTCGGAAGTTGGGGTCTCCAAAATGGCCGTTTTGTAGGCGTCCATAGCTTCTTCAGGTGATGAAAATCTCTGTCCACGCAATTTATTCTTTATTTTAGGGAAAGTATAGAAATCATTAGGGCTTATGTCGGGGCTGTACGGCGGATGGTCTAATTTTTGTTCTGTGTGCGGTGTGAGAACTCGCATTGTCGTGATGGAGGATGATGCGGCGGTTGCAGTTCTCTTTACGGAGTTCAGAAACGACATGTGGCAAACAAATGCTAGCATACCATTCTACATTAACCGTTCTTTGTCCCTCAAGAGGAATAGTTGTAACATGGCCGGTTTTGGAGACAAACGTGGCCACCATTTTTTTTTGCAACACTCCGTGATCGAACAATTTTTGTTGGCTTTAACTCATTTTCGAACACCCAATCTCGTGACTGGTTTTTTGTTTCGGGTTCGTAGTATCAATTGTCACCAGATACGATGTTGTATACAGCATTTGAGGATCTTGCGTGGAATCTTTCGAGAGTTCTGACGCACCAAGTAACGCGAGCCGCTTTTTTGCTCTTCACAGAGCGAATGTGGCATCCATCGGCAAAAAATTTTTTTACACCTCATTGTTCATGCAAGATTATTTGTATTTGACTCATGCCAATGTCTAAAGTTGCCTGAATTTCGCGGTATGTCACATGTCGATCTTCCTCAATCAGCTTACGCACAGCATCAACGTTTTCTTGGGTGACTGCAGTTTTTGGATGACCTTGACGGGGATCATCACTGAGCTTGACACGTCCACGTTGAAATTCAGCAAACCAGCGATAAATTGTGGTTTTGGATGGGGCTTCATCACCAAATGCAGAAATCATCCGGTCAACACACTGTTTTTGTGTTAAATCACTTCGAAAGTCATAATAAATCATCGCTCTTGAATTTTCTCGAGTCAATTCCATTTTCTCAACGACTAAACAAGTTTGACAAAACCTTGTGACAAAATCGAGAATCCTTTTTTTAAATAAATAAATGGTATTAGATTTTTAAAACCAAGGAGTTTTCAATTAAAAAGATTTTAATATGACAGGAACAGTGGAAATATTCCATTCCCGATACTTTTAGTGCCGCCTATGTATAAAACTAAAACTAGGAGGAGGAAAGACAAAAACCAGAAATAAAACTTAAACTGAAAATGTTATTTATAGATTTAATGTGAACTTTGCATAGTACCTTAATCTTGTAAATAATAAGGTACGTGAGGGTAATATCTTGAGGGTCACCTTAAGATTTGCCGCCCTATAAAACTAAAACTAGGAAGAGGAAAGAGACAAAAATACCAAGTCTTATACTACATATATACTGTATAACTACTCAATATAAGAAAAAAATAGCAAACAAGCTTTGGAAATAACAAACATTCAACTTAAAAAAAACTAACTACACTACATAATACTAAAAGAATCCATTCCAATCCATTGGATTCTCTGTCTACGACTAAAATCGACAAAAATATTTACTATAATGTCAACTGTCAAAATGGCGTCGACCGTCGATAAAGCAGCCCTTCTGACCATAAGAGCAACACAGGAGGGGAGACGCTACGCTGGGGTTACTAGAAGTGGAAACTGTGACACTGCTGCCAACTTAGATTCGCTCGGTTGAATGCCACTGTAATGCCACTCGGTGATATTTCATGTCCTAAATACGTGATTTTATTTAGCAAAAAGAACACTTACTTATATTTAGTTTTAAATGTTCTAATATTAATTTATGAAGAACCTTCTCTAAAATATCTAAGCCTGACTGCACATCAAAAGATGGTAACAACAAATCATCTAAAAATACTAACACTTCGAGCATTAAGCAACAAATCATCTAAATACTATTTACAAGCCATCCTTTACAACAACTACTTACATGGACTTCTCATTATAACCTTATTCTATAAAAAAAATACAACATTTCGAGTTTTCGTACTTACCGCCTTTGAAAAGTTATTGGGATTTCGTAATGAATCTACGATCTTTATTAGTCGCAAAAAACTGATGGTGCATTAGCTAATCCAAACGGGACACGCGTATATTCAAAGTGCCCCTGTGGTGTGATAAGTGCGGTTTTGTGTATGTCTTCAGGATCAATTTTAACCTGATGGTAACTTTGTGCTAAATCAAGATTTGTGAAGAAACTCTTGCCGGGTAACTTTGAAACCTGATCATCGATATTGGGCAACTGATACCTATCTTTGACTGTAATAGCATTAAGTGCTCGATAGTCGACACAGAGCCTACTATCGCCATTCTTTTTCTTTACAATGATAACTGGAGAAGCAAAACATGACTCAGACTCTCGGATTATACCTGCGTCTAATAATTCGGTGTCTTTGGACCTAGCTATCTCCTGCTCCCTACGTGACAAACGGTAAGGCGGCATATAGGCTGTTCACTTGTTAATTTTATTTTCATTTTTAATAAATCTGTACATCCCAAGTCTTGTGTTTTATTCGGAAAACAGTCACTATAATTAGTCAATAAAGCAATTAAACTATCGTGATCGTTTTTATTTAATGGACCTGACTTAATATCTTCTAGATTTATTTCCCCAATAGTGCTAACACGGGGTTAGGCTAGTGTGCAACAAAGATGCTTTGGTTTAGTTGGTGGCCTTTGGTTACGGAAGCAGG